CGGAATCGGAACAACTCTAATATAAACACACAATCTAAATATTTCATCTGCCAATATATTCTACTGGCTATCCAATCATTTCAGAAATTCAACTCTAACTCAAATCCCTCCATTTTCATTTTTAGAGAAAGGCAGATATTCATCACTCAACATTAAAATGCAATTTTGTTAGGCAGTTGTCTTGGAACCATTCATCTAACTGAGTTTCCATGCATTTGTTTTCGTTTTTTTATTTGTGGGGGAAATTAAGTAGAAACTAAGTACAAAAATGGGAAAGCAGTAATCTCATCTCACAAATAATTGGTAGTTAAACATTATGTCCATGAAATGTGAAATCCTGAATGAAACTGAAGTACTACATCACTAATTTTTGCTGTTTCCTGGGGTTTTATATTGATATTAGACATATAGTGACATTTCTATTTTCCTTTTCATTTCAGTCCCAGACATTTCATGTGATGGCTGCTCCCATCCTGCCTTTTGTTTTCTGCGACGTCACTCTCATTCCTGTACATTTCACAGTATTTGGGTTTTCTCTGTTGTCCTGTATGTGCCATGATGCATGGAGGAATGGGTCTGAGGTTTAGAGAGCCTTGATAGACTAGCGATAACTGACAGTCTTATCGTTTAATGAAGGCCACAAACATCGGTTTTTAAAAATCATCGGTTTTTGGTTTTTGCTGTTGGATGACAGTAGTTAGGTGTATTGGTGAATACACAAAGCATTAACAGAGACTGAATGTTGCTTCTTGAGGCCATCACATGACCTGAAGCCTGGTGCTAAGCAGAGGATACATGGTGTGGTCTAGTTAAGTGTTCACATGGAAGAACTAATTCATTTCATGGGTCAAGTTTTCTCTATTATACTGCTTCAGCATTTGAATCAAACTTGTTTGGCTGGTCCCAGCAAAAACAGTTCTACTCCTCATCGCCAAACTTTTGTATTACTGTTAAAAAGAGGTTATTTTTAAGATCATTTTTACATTACTACTTCATTGGACAGCACACAGTGCAGATGGACTGAAAGCAAGAAGAGGAGGAGAAAGAGGAAGAAGGTAGATAAGCTGCAACAGAGGCCACAGTTTGTATTTTAACCTTTAGCCGGTACGGAGCCCAAATTTGTCGTCGTTTGCTTTACTCCATTCACATAGCTCATCTGCGCTCATCATCCCGAGTTCAGCTGATTCACAAACGCATTGAACCAGTCCATCCCAACTCCTGAGTTTGCCATTGAGTCAGCACTTGTTGACTCTTTCATGACAGGAGCCAATCACCTGGCTCCATCCAGCTACTAATCAACCAGTCACATCAAAGCACCCATTGTTTTGTAAGACCATCGTTATCCTCCTGTTGCTCAGTCGCTTCACTTAATGAAACGTTACAACCAGCAAATTGAGCCACGTTATTTTTATTTTTTTTCCCACACGCTAGTGCGCACACACTGTCTGCTCCCGTGCTTGGGCACGGTGAAGAAGTGTGTTGAAAAGTCTGAAGGTTTAATTGAAAGACGTGACAATGCCCGAGTCCTGATGCACGCTTCTATGTAGAGCTTGCACGCTGCCACTGTTACCATAGCATTTATTTGTTTGTCCCCAGTGTGCTCCAACTTTGCTACAAATGTTGTTGTTTTATTTTAAATTTCTTTTTTTTTTCTTGATTGTGTTGCATTTGCACTAATGTCATTTATACTAGCAACGCTCCAAAGCCGTTCTGTGGCTGTCAGCAACCAAATACCCTCTGATGTGTTTGTGTACGAGGAAACAGCCCAATCTGTTTGGGTGTAATGTATATAAATGTTGCTCTGTATGGCATCTATATTAAATCAGAGGAGTGTTGATATATAAATAAGATCAGGGCTTGATTTCTCCAAAGCTTCCTAGTGGTTCAATGTTTTTGTTAATTTACATGCCTGTGAACAAAGACAAACTTATGACTGGGAAGCTTTCGGGAAACCAAGATCTGTGAGACCAGCCAGTGTTACTGCTTCTCCAGTCTGTATGACGCGCCCTCGAGCTAGTGTGATCACTCCAGTGCCCTCTACTGTTAGGAGTGGGATCAGCATGGCGCTGACGGACAGGAGATGCACTAGTTAACCCTCAAAAGTATTACTTACTACCACTATTACTAAAGGTCTTATTACTATGAATGACTTTATTGTTGACATTGGAAAGCGTTGGCTGCAGGGCTGAGAATGAATACATAATCAATGTAGGATCAAACCTGGCCAACGCTCTTTAACAATTTTGTGTTTTTTTTTTTTGTTTTTTTTTTAAGAAATGGAAATGTCCAGTTTGATGTATTTTGCACATGTTCCTCTGAAAGGTGAACATAAGGACTTTCTGTATTCTTGAAGACTTATCATAATATTATCAGCTCCATTCCTTAGACTTTGGTTTCAAACAAAGCACTTGAAACGGTGACAACCATTTTAATTAACAGCTTCATACACACTCATTGTGTATTACGTGTGTTACGGTTTTCATTGTGGAGCAATTGACCTGAGAGATCACCTGCAAGGTGATAGCTGTCATTGGCAACTGTATGTGAATTAGCATTGTTGTATTAAATGATAAATAAGTGGCAGAGAAGCCTGCCAGCTGTTGATTCCAGATGTATTTGCTCCATTTATGCTCCATGTTGGAGAAATTGCAGTTGTTGCAGTCACTCTCCAGGCTTTGAACTGTGACATATTTATTCATGCTGTCTGGGACAGTTTTGCATCAAATGTTTTACGGCAATCTAAACTCTATATTTAGTATTTGACTATATAACCCCTTTCATCTAGTAACTATAGAAAGCTTATGGACGTTACGTATTTTAAGCTTTTCAATCTTGAAATGCTTTATTTGCATTTCAGTGCATCTCTGAGGTTACAGCTCTGGGATTGACTTCGCGTACAAAGCATCCGACTGTTTAGGTTAGTCGTTGGTGAGCTATTGTGTCAAACAAGTGCATGAACCGTCGCTGCTCCTCACATTGGCCATGTCAATTTTACATAGCAGCCGCCTGTGCTGTCAGGGGCTTCTGTGTGTGTTAAGATTGTAAAACAGTATATTTGCCATCAGTACATGCACTACTCATCTTCATTGACTTGCTGGTAAAACAACTCTATAAACAAACCAATGTGCCCTTAGTGTCTCAATATTTACTCTGAAACAGTTAAATACTACTATTGAAGTACATTTCCTCTGTGATGGAGGAATATGAATACGTATTGCTGAAGTCAATTTCTGATCTGAAATCCACGTTTCTCAGACTCCGTTTATCACAATACTTTGCAAAATCATTTCTATAACACTGAAAATGTAAGGAAATGTAGTAATGGAATCAATAGCTGCCATGGGGCACTCTGACCACATGTTTATCATCTGGATTCATTTTTAATGAGCAGTTTGGAAAGTAACAGCACTGTTGTCTCATACGATTGCCTCTAACATGTTTTTTTTAGTTGATTACGTTCAGGACTGCTCTGACTGAAACTCCCTACAGTTTGTTTTGTTTAGTTTTTATTTAGTCTGATTAGTTTTTCCACACACAGACACATTTAGAACCTCTGTAAAACCTGACTCTGAATGCCAGCTGTATTCTGTTAAAATGCTCCGAGGTTGGTTTTGGACTTTATGCCTGGCATTGCCTTGGTTATTTTACAAAAATTGAATGTCAGAAATAAAATGAACCATCCACTCTGGACTCAGCCTTTATTTTATTTTTAAATGCTTGGATTTACAATATACTATGTAATTGGTTGTACATGTACTGTAATAGTGCAGTAGGGTAGCACTTCTTTTGTAGGCATAAGTGATAATCAGTATTATTATTATTATTATTATTATTATTATTATTATTAAGCCTACTATTTAAATTTAGACTTTAATTTAATACAGTATGACACAGATGACATATATAGCTCATTGAAGATTGTAGATCAGAACAATTTAGAACAAGTAAATTCTAAATATGAAATCATTTTATGAAGTTGGATGCATTCAAATAATATTTAGCCACCTTTTATATCATATTTATAGGGGGGAGAACTTATCGTCCACTTGTTTTATCTTGACAGAAATACATGAAAATAAATATGAATGCCACCATACATGTATCTTGGTTTTATTTAGACTGATTGTTTCATTGTTCCATTGTTCATGTATTGGGGTTTGGTCTGGTGGTGCTGGTGTAGTTGGGCGGGTCAGACACATGATGGCGCTGTTGTGCTATTTCTAGACTGAGTGGGAACTGATCTAGGAGACAAACGCTGGATACACACACACACACACACACGGGGACTATTTCTGTCACAGTGCTGTGGGCACTCACTGTGCACAACAATGAGTTTCTACTGGTTTTATTTTATATATTGTGGGTTGTTTTTTCTTTCAATCTGCCATGTTCCTGCTCTGTTGGAGCCTTTCTATATTATTGTGCTTCCTAATTATGCTTCACTTTCTCATTGTTTTTATTTCTATATTATTTCGTAATTTCACATTTGTAATCTACTATTTAATATTCATGCAGATTAAAGGATATTTATGAAGCTCAATTCAACTTTAACCTTTTTATACTAATGATATTTGTAAATGTTATAACTGGTACAGCCTCTTCTGATGTAAAAATCCTTCAGGATCTTCAGGATACATCTTTAGTGTTCAAAATCAGACAACAATCGGACTTCAACAAATCTTTCAGGGATCCATACTTCGTTAATATCCCTCCGGAAATAGGTAAGCGGATAGTATAATTTGACTAATTCTAAAATGGTAGCCTTTTTATTTTTGCAAGAGAATTAACCGCATTGTCACTTTTTTTTAAATTTTAAGGATTAATTTTGACACATCATTTAATATGAGCTGACATGCGGACATAAATATCCTCCTCCATATTTTGAATAAACTGATACACACGTGGCCCGATCGATAAAGACACCAGAGCCTCTTGAACCTCTCTTCCATTCACATACATTAACTCCCCCAGCTGTGAACCCGCTTAAATCCTATCTCTCTCTCTCTCTCTCCATCCCTCTATATGCAGCAAACTGGAGCATAAAAGACTCTTATTCTCCATAATCAAGGTCAAGAGCGTTTTTCAATAACCTTTGGGAATTAAACCCTGGAACTCCGCTAGTTCACCCTGCCAATCATTCCCACAGCCATCTGAATAATACAAAAGTTGTTGACCTTTTGCACCTCGACAGATCAATACGCTGTAGTTTTATTTTATTAAAAGAGTTCACGAGAATTATCTATTAATATTTGTATTTCGGTTTGGATTCCCTCTCGGCGGCGTGATAAATTGTTTCAAATAACAGATGGTGCTAGAGGGAGAGACAAAGCAGGGGAATCTGGTAGCAATTATCCTCAATTATGTTCATTGTTATTTTGAGCTAATTATTGTTATTGTCACTTTTGTTTGCGAGTCTTGCGGCGCTAGCCTGCAATAAGCAGGCCTACGGAGGACAATGGGGAGCAGGGATATGTTTTGACGATGAAATATGGCTTTTATAATTGAGCCTAACCAGTTGGTCTAAATAAAACTTCGATCCAAAATGTACAGACTGAGGTTTTATATCAAATTGGCCAAATCTAAAATGAGTCTAATGGACTGTTTGATGCACAAAGATACCCTCTGTTTTTCACTTCTTTAAATTTCAGGCTTTAAAGGGCAATACAACAATTATTTTTGTTATATTTGAAAGAAGAAGAATGGAAGAAGAAATGTCTTGATGTTAGAAAACTCCGTATTGTGAATATTAGAAATAATATTACCATGCTTTGTGTTACAGTTCCAATCAAAGGCTTCACAATTCAAAAGTCTTTTTTCTTTCCTCATTTTATAGTTCCATGAATAAAAAAAGTATATGTTTGAGGTAATTGAGTCGCGTTTGTGCTGCTGAAGTGCCACTGAGCAGTTTACTCCAGCATCATGAGCGCCAGTCTGCAGCCGACTCTGCTCTGCATGGGCAGAAAAAAAACTTTTCCGGTCGATTTTCAAGAATTAATTTCCACATTTACAGAGAAGAGACGACTTTGCAAAGTCCCTTTTTACCAAGCAAGGACAGAGAGGATACCCGGGCCAGGCCGTGCAGGGGGGAGGATAGAGGGACAGAGGAGCTCCGCGGACGCTGCATGGCGCGGACCTGACTCCGCTCTCGCCTTTGTTTGGGGGCGTCTCCTCTCCTCTTCGTCCTGTTCCCTCCCCTCATCTCCTCCGGTCCCCTCCCCTCTTTCCCTTCCCATCCTAGCTCCCTCTCTCTTCCCCCCGGGGCGGGAGAAGCCCGTGTTTGGTTCTCAGATCCTTTGGGAAGAGTCACAAAGCGTTTTCCTCAGAGAGGAGCGGAGTGGCCGAGAGCTCGGGAGTCATCCGCAGGAAGCAAGCGCTGCTCTGGACGCCGCAGACCCCACGACACGTCCCGGATCACTGTGGTGAGGGAGAACGAGAGAAAGCAAAGAGCGAAAAGAGGAAGAAAGAAGTGTCGGATGATGATGACATCTGATCTGAGTGATAGCTGATCTCTCTTTTCTGTCTGACAGCTTGAACTGTGGATCTCCAGGCGCGCCAGGAGTGACTTTTGAACACCTTTTCACACCGGCTCAGTCCACATCCTGCGCGTCCTGCTGGCAATTTAAATCCGCTTTTTTTTTTTTTAAAGTGTTTGTACATTTTGGATCCTACTATTCCGGTATGATTGGTTTTAGCACACACTCATCGGGACTAGAATTAGAGGAATAAACCAAAAAAAACCCTGCTTGATCTTTTGCGAAGCGCACGCAGCAGCCGCAGCAAAGAGCGCACCCACGTTGCTCTTCTTGAATCACAGTGAAGGATCTACAGGAGAACAAGTGCACAGCTCAGGCAGGGGGAAAGACTGAGAAACAGAAGGACAGGCACTGATATACGGAGGTCTGTTAATGTTTGGAATCCAAGAGAGCATCCAGAGAAGCGGCAGCAGCCTGAAGGAGGAGCCGCTGGGAGGCATGAACACTGTCCGGAGCTGGATGCAGGGGGGCGGCGTGCTGGACGCCAACACGGCCGCCCAAAGGTGAGCTCTGCTCGGGTGGAGGAGACACGCTGCCACCCTCATTCATTTAAACGGAAACAGCGTGTTTTTTTTTCAGGACCATGCAGCCTGTGCAGGACACGAGTCTGTGCTGATGGGGAGAAGCAGACGGAGCTGCTGTCCGGAGGAAGACATTTGGATTTAACTGTTAATCTAACTGCTAGGATAATTTAGATTCAGATGCAAGATATCACAAATTCCAAAACACAGTGAATACCCTGTATGATTTTAAGACAACGTATCAAACATTTAATGGCAGCATGTGTTTGTGCTAGAGATTTTTACGCACATGCAACATGCCCCTTCTGTCCATAGTTGGCTGGGGTTTAATGAGCATGAAGCCAAAGGGACAGATAAATAAATCAGGCCTATGCATGGTATTTAAAATGAGGAAAAAAATTCTGTCCAGCTTTTCTTTTTTTCTAAACTGGTTGTACTAAAGGGGAACAAAATTCTCCACTTGCCTCTTGACAAAGTCAGAGATGTAAAGGTGAATAAATGATGGCCTCCTGTCACAGATCATCGAGAACAGCCTCCAACAAAAACAAATTTGATTAGCTTATATTTGTTTTAGAAAATCATGGGTTTGGGATTTTGTTTTCATAAGCAAATTATGTTAAATCAAGTAATACACATATGCACAGACTGGATTTACTCTTGCTCCTCATAGATTCTCACATTTCTTTTTAATTACCTTTATGAAGTCAAACTTTCCACACCTTTCTAACACCGACTCATCCCTCGCCTGTGTGTCCGCAGTGGAGTGGGTCTGGCCCGGGCTCACTTTGAGAAGCAGCCGCCCTCCAACCTGCGCAAGTCCAACTTCTTCCACTTCGTCCTGGCTCTGTACGACCGGCAGGGTCAGCCGGTGGAGATCGAGAGGACCAACTTCGTGGACTTCATCGAGAAGGAGAAGGTGGGTGCAGAAAGTCATAGCTGTGTGATTATTTCTAGATTTTAAATGCTGAAAGATCATTTACCATTTAGATTTTTTTTAAAGGCCTGATTATTCCATTGTGGCGTCTAATGCAATGTTTAATGTCACATTTTAAACATTTACAGAAACTAATCTATTAAATATTTGCTATGTTTTTGATGAATTATTATTATTATTAATATATCTTATTATTAATATATCTTATTATTAATATATCTTATTATTATTAAGAATAATATTATTATTGTTATTATTATTATTATACATCATATTTTGGATAAAAATGTACATTGATGAAACACAGTATATACACACACACTGTAATTCAAAAGCTTCCTTCGATCCATGTGTGCATTTGACAAATAAGAAAACCACTTTGGACGTTTAAATTGTTTTAATTTACTGCTGTATTCAACACAACCACTTGTTCTATATAAACAGCGGCGGGGCACCCGGTCTCCTCATCAATTATGACACCGTTTAAATTAGTTGAAATGTTAGTGGGAGAATTTAGTGTTGGATTTATTCGCCCCCCAAACATAACCAGTAATTACAGAGGAATTAAAAAGCCACAATAACACCATGATTACACACGGAGAAATTACAGGGCTGCCCTGCTTTAATGTGTCCGCCGTGAGCATAAATCACACGTTTTTTAATGCATGACCGGTGTGGCGAATTCAATAACTTGGATATAAACTCTGTAGACCTGCATGTGCACTTTAAATTATTTATTTTTTTCAATAAACAGCTCAGTGTTTTGTTGTGTGTGTTAAGGAGACGAGCGGAGAGAAGACCAATAACGGGATTCATTACCGGCTGCAGCTTCTTTACAGTAACGGTGAGTGAGGAGCCTGACACACACACACATTTACAGACACACACAAAGTCAAGCACTTATTCACAATACATTTGACCAGATCAGCTTGATTGCCTGTTGTCTCCTGTAATAATAAGAATATGCACACAGGGAAGCAGCTGATATTATTTTAGATTTAATGTGGAGAAATGTGAAGAGGGCCAACAGGCTGTGTGTTTATGTCACAGAAACTGCAGTGTAGAGTTTCACAGTTGTGTAATTTGACCGATTTCTGGATAAATGTCACTATTTCAGAACAGCTGTTGTGGGTGATTTTTACCAGATTTATGGCTTCATTGCTGTCACTGTCCCTAAATTAGTTTGTCCAGTCTGAAGTGGGCTGTTTGACAGTTTGAGCTGCAGTCTGCTGGTTGAATGTTGTTGTAGTGGCTGTGGATTGTGGTATTCAGTCCTATCAGCTCAGTCTACAGCTGGGAGATGAGATATGTGGGCGTAATAGCTGTGATTATTGATTTTAATATAATTTTCATGTGAAAATGTGGACATATGCATTCATCAGTGATATTGACTGTAAGGTATAGACATTTAACATCAGTGTGAACCATTAATTGGCGTCTAATGGGTGTTGGAATCACGATTGAAAGTGTAAGGCTAGGCAAAAACCCCTTGGAGAAACATTTATTTTCATAATGTAAACTGATGATCTTTACCACACACACACACAAACACACAAACAACCTACACCAGGGGTTCCTGACCTTTTTGGCTTGTGACCCCTTAAAATGAAGGTATGTCAGGTTGCATGTGTCAACCAGAGAATGATTATTCCCTCTTGTATTTGAGGCCTAAAGAGAAACAAATATTAACAAGAATTCACAAGAATAAAAACTCTGTAAAATATCAGAAATATGTTTTTAATCTTTATCTAAAATTTGTTGTAATTTCCTTTCCTTAAATTTCCTGTAGTTTAAGGCACAAGTAATCAATTAGCTAATTTTTATGTTTACTTAATTTGACATATTTTCTAATGCAGTTTTTGTATATGTTGTTCTGTTTAATCTATGTAAAGTTCATGATTTTCTTGTTTATTCTGCATCCCAACAGGCATCAGAACAGAGCAGGACTTTTATGTTCGACTCATAGACTCCATGACTAAACAGGTAAACACACATTTCAACAAACACACACACACACACACACACAGTCTCACAGAGGTCTGTCACCTCTCTTGTTACCTCTCTGACAATGAGCTGCTCCACTGATCTGCCTGTACTCCGCCGCCCTCCTCTATCTGCATGTACTTGCACACAGAAAAACGCTATATGTGTGAGTGCGTGTGATTCTGTGGGTGGGTGTTTCCACTATGTGCCCCCACCCACCCACACACACACACACACACACACAGCATGGCTCCAGGCGTTCTTGCCTGCGCTTCTCTCACTGTGATTAGAGCGAGGAGGCAGCGAGCGGGTGTTGAGGAACAGGGGCGTAATTCTGCTGCTCACAGTAGGAAGTGGAAAGATATAACAGCACCTCTGGGATTTGGTCTGCCGAGTAGCAAGCATTTTCTGATCAGATCCAATTTTTCTGTTACTGTAATGTTTGTGTTTTTGTTTATATGTACCTTTATGAGAGAGAGAGCAGTAGCAAGAAGAGAGAGAAGCAGACTGAATAACAGATAGAAGACAGACAGACACTTTTAGTGTTTGTGCTCAATGTTGCTCAGGTAAACAGTTAGAATGAAGACCGATTATTATGTTTTTGCACAAGAAAGACAGAGTTTTCTATCTGGTGTGTGTATGTGTGTGTGTGTGTGTGTGTGTGTGTGTGTGTGGCATGTTATGAGGAGCCAAGAAGCCATGCTATGCACTGAATACTTGCTAATGTGACTCCAGGCTCTGATAGAGTCTCACATTGCTGCTGCTGCCACGCTGCATCACGTACTGGGTGTGTGTGTGTATGTGTGTGTGTGTGTGTGTATCTGGCAGCAGCAGCAGAGCTCGCAGAGACAGGAAGTGATGCGTTGATGCCGATGGGCGACAGAATGTGTAGGAGGAGTCTATTTTAAGACTCAGCTGCAGCAGGACAGAGCACTCCAATACATCTGGCCTTGTACAACTGTGTGTGTGTGCTTGTATCTAGTGTGTGTGTTTGTGTATGAGTGTGTGTGCGTGTGTGAGAGTGTGTTCACAAAGCAGTAGGCAAGCTAATGGCTAGAGGCAATGCTTTTAGTGTTTTTAGTGTGCATCTTTTTACAAAAATCTAATCAGAGCATAATTTTTCTTGTGTTTTTTAGCCTATTTAGGGGTCAGTTAGATGCCACCCAGAGTGTGTGTGAGAGGAGGTGGGAGACAGACAGACAGAGAGGAGGAGGAAGGACAGATGTGAGGAGACGGCGGTTCTGCAGGAAGAGCAGCGGGGATTCAATGCGAGGAAGGGGAGGAAGGATGTCAATAAAACGTGACTACACAGGGAGGGGGAAGTGTAGGACACAGCAAATGGTTGTGTGTGTGTGTCTTGCACAGCCCACATCAGTGACGCAGTGCTGTAGACGTAGACGGGGAGGAGGGGGAGGAGGAGGAGTAGGAGGGAGTCTGAGAGTCTGAGGACACTCAGTGAGGGGGCGTTTGATTTCGACATGTTTTAAATTCTTAAACAGAAAGAGAAACAGCCACGGTGCGTTCGGGACGTCTCACCTGCGATGAGTCGGCTGCCTCTGAGGGGTTTTTAAGTCTCTGCAGGAGCACATGAACAAACTGTTTCATTCACTGCTCCTCGCTTCCATTCAGGCAGAGGGAGTCATCTGCAGGAGCAACTGAGGGAGAAACAACTTTAGGAGATATTTTTTTATGCAGTGAGTTTAAAATAAACTGCCAACATAATGAGCACTGCCTGCACTCATCTCCTCTCTGATGAGGGGTCCATTTCAGACAATTAGGCCTATAAATTGTAAATATGAGAGTTTAAAAAAAAAAAGACATATAGAAGGTTTCAATACGCTCCATTAAAAAAGCAGCTAACTGCGTTTTTAAAGGGGTTAAAGGTGACTTATAATGGTGGACAAAATACTGCTGCTGTTAAATGACTGTAGAGACGCCAAATATTTCATTTCACACATTTTTCTTCTTTTAATTCGATATAAACAGATTCTTACTCAGACTCCATTGTGAAATGTTTCTACTCATTAGCTAGTCACAAGCTAGCTCAGGGAATGTGACAAGCAGGGAGTCCACACAAGAAATTTGCCTAAAACAAGAGTGATTTATTAAACTGAGATTAACACAAATCATAAGACAAGGCCGAAGACAAAGATGCAGGTCAGCCAAATGCCTGCTGAGGTCGTCCAGGACAGCCTCTAAAGCAGCAGGAAGGGGTGTATATGTATATTATAATGTATAATTTACTGAATAAATAAATAAAACAAATCACATTTTGATGATTTTGATATCAGTATATTTATAATCCATTGCATTAACGGCTGCACTCAATCATTTTATTAAATGAGTATGTTATTTGGCATTATATGGTATAATAGTTAATTTATGTACCTACAGCTGTCACATAAATAAAACTAGTAATAGTAAAAACTACAATATTTCCCTGTGAACATGGCCAGACTGACTAATTAGAGTTCAACTCTGCAAAACGCCACCTCCAAGTACGAATCATATAGTGTAAGCATCATTTCACAACTTTTGCATTTCATTTAATTCATGTTGTATTTGTATTTCAAAATAGGTAACAGTTTCCATAATCA